TATAAAAATTTATAAAAATTTGGTTTGTGGCTTGGGTTGATATTAACGAGGTTGATATTAACGGGGGCAACCTGTATTTTTACACACTCTATTATTTTTCCTTCTTTATATCTTATAACTCTACATAATTAAATATACTAAACATTCTACATATTAGCTTCCTTACATAACTTCTATATGGTCTATTATTTTCTTTATATTCTATAACGTAATATTTAAGATGAGAATTAAAAATTAAAATAATATTAAAAGCTGTAAACTAAGAATTAAAGCTACAAATAAAATTGGGGCAAGATTTTTTGGGTTGCTGAACATTTTTACTTAACACAATCGGCCTTGATTATTTAGACAGTTTTTTGAGAAATAGTAATTGTCGTGTTATACACCACTAGTGTGATTTTACAATGCCGATTAAATATATATGGTAATACTGTAATAAATTTTATTTATTTTTTGAAGTTATTTAATATATTGAAGTAGCCATAGTTAAAAAAGTATCTTTCTTATGGACCATAGTAAATCATTGTGATTTCAAGACGAAAACCCTATATATTTACTATTTTATTGATTAATTAAGTATAAAATAAATATTGTTATACGAATAAATGATAAAGATTTTTATAATAAAGCATATACGATCATAAATAAAGCATCAAATATGATTTTGATATATACAGTTCAATAAGTAAGCAGAATAACACCAGACCAGTCTAAACCAGTTTGGATTAGTTAAATCTTAAAAAATATAAGCTATTAAAAACGAATCCAATGCCAAAATAAACCTCTTAATATTTCTAAGAATTATTAAGTATTTGCATTTGAATTTCGAAAAGAAATGTTTAATATTACGATTCGAATTTTATTCTGGAAATTAAGACTTTTCATTTTTATAATTATCTTTCACTTATTATGCACATATTCGATATAACTATTAGACATATTGTAACATATCACTTTATTCAATATATCTTGCTTAGTCGCTAAATCCCTCTTAAATTCTTAATTTCAAAATAAAAATAAAGTTTTAATAATTTATAGCATTGATTAACAAATTTGATTAGTTTTTGAATTTTACATTATTGGTTGAGAATGGACATATTTAGATTTTGGTTATTATCTCAAATGAAGTAGAAATCCCGATTTCCAAACCAAACCTATGTAGTAATGTCATAATTCAAAAAAATTTGGGTCGCAACCCTAATTCAACTTACGATTAATAATCAACCCTTTTTTTACACATTGGACATTCATCCCTCAACTTAATCGCAGCTAAAATTTGTTCATTGTAAAAAATTGATTTAATAATGAATGGTTGAATAAGAAAATATATTAGCTAACACTAAAGCACCTACCGGCCACACATACTCTATGAAAATAATGGCCATGACATGGAGGCAGTTTGACGATATGTTGATCCGACGTGGTGGTATCTGGGTCAACGAAAGAATCTAAGCATATAATACAAGTGTCTTCAGGTGTCACATCTTCGAAAGAAACCGGCTGAAGAATAGAGTTATCATCTTTCAACAAAAATTAATTAGAAATAAGAACATTGTTGATTAACATTCATAATAAGTATATATAATAGTATCTTACCATTCGCGATTCTTCTAATTCTCCTCATACCACCGCTTGTGATATTTGTTTGTTGAAAACGCCTTGTGGCATAATTAAATCTAATTTCGTATCGATCGGGTATTGACGCAAAATAGCCTTGTTTGGGAGTCAGCACTGTCAAATTGTTTTGATATGCATTTTCTAGTTCAGATGAAGATTCCAAATCGTAAGGGATCCATTGATCTGGATTGGCTCTCCATTCCCACTATTAATATTATCCCCCTACGTCTAATTCAGTAGAACATTTGTTTTCACTTGTTAAATATTATTATACGGACTGGCGAAAG